TCCCTGCCTCCCCCCTTCCCCAGTGAAATCTGAAACGTGGCTATTTCTGCCACCGCTGACAAATACCGTCACCTTTCGCTCCCTCCCCTCCCTCGCGGGTGACGGGGTGCAGCTCTGGGGACCATAAATGAATCATCGCTCGGCAGCTCCCACAGCTTTCAAGCACGGTGGTGGGAGCGGGGCCGCCCACGCCAGGCCAGTGCCGCAGGGCGGGGGGACCACCGCCCCAGCTGCAAGGGGGGGCATGGCGAGGGGGGGTGTCTGCATTGCATTTATCTTTTTTTGGGAAAATGGGAATAAATACCAGGTGCTGCAAGGGAGAAGAGAGGGAAGCTGGCTCTGAAACAGCCCTAGGGCTGCTGGCCACGCTGCCTCTTTTCCTCGCCCTGGCCAGAGCAGCCAGGAGCTGGCAGCCTCAGCTGGCCCAGCCATGCCCAGGGCAGGGCAGTCCCAGGAGAGGTTGGGTAGCACAGGGGCACGGAGAAGCCCAGCCTGGCTGGGGAAGCTCCCTCCCGCATTGGGCCAGACCTGGGCTTGGATCAGCATCTCCACCACCACTGCCAGCACTTCAGAGAACCTTCTGGAAAAACTCCTCTATGGCTGACCTCCACAGGCGTTAAGAAGTTTTTCTCACTGCTATGCAAAAGCACTCACAGGTGAAGGGGAACTCCCTAGGGTTGGATGCTATGTCCTGGTTTCTTTGCAGGGTCACAGTTCATTGCTCAACGCTGCAAGACCACTTTTTTGTATGCAAAGAAACAAAGCAAGCTTTGGATACTGCATGCCAGCAGTTAAGCTTCTCCAATACATGACTTGACCCAATCGCCCGCAGATTCTTCCTGCCACCCAGGCTGGCCCTTCTAGTTTTTCCTCAGGCTTTGAGTAAAATACAGAGAACTTTATAGCACAAGTGCAATATTGCATGTTATGCATATGCAACACATCCCCAAGGGAGTAAGGGCACCGCGATATGAGCAAAGTGTTGCCCTTTTTTGCCAGGTGCTCTGCTCCCATTTCGGGGTGTCACTTGCACCCTTCCCCAGACGCCAGCGCTCACCACATCGCTCCTCCACAGGCGACACATTCCTGTGCACAATCAAACCTATTGTGTAGCTCTAAAACAGTTTTTGCTTTAATCTGATGGGGGGGTGGGGGGAACAGCAAAAGGATTTTATATCTAATCCAATAAATCTACACTGACATCTTGTGGAGATCATGAGGCCAGAAAGCCGCAGCCACTCGGCAGGGTGGGATCTGCACCTTCACCGTGTCCTGCTGGACACCATCACAGCGGCAGCCGGACTGCCCAAAACACCTATGGGTGCGTCTGTGGTGAAAACCAGGCCCTGCAATGTCAGAAGCCATCGTTCTCTGTCCAAAAACACTGTTTTGCTAAGCGATCCTCACAAACCCAACTAAAATGAGGCTATTTACTTTTAAACCCTCACTGAAAGCAATACCATGGCCCCTCTTGCATAAATGCCACGATGCTTCAGGCTTCTCAAAGTACAAGCTTCCGATGAGGAGCTATTGTCATGCTGGAATTTTATTATCTCTGTAAGCGCTGGAAGAAAATGGATCCGAGTAGCACTCCAGGACTCCTTTAATGCTCCTCTTCATCTAAAAATACATGGTTTAAGCAAAAACTGCCTACAGTTTGGGAACAAGCGCAAGATTTTCCTCCCTATTCACACCACTCATTTTAGCTCCTCTGCTGGGTCAGAAGAGTTAAAAATTAAGCCACTGCCATCTTTCTTCCAGTACCTGGGTAAGTGTTCAAGGAACACAACCCCTATTAGGCACAGGCTACATCAGTGGGTTAACGCCGAGATCTGAAATCCCAGCACAGATAATCTTGCAACCAAACCATATGATCATTCCTCCAGCTTCTTCCTAATACCACGCTGGGGAGCAAACGCTCATGCATGCTCCATAGCAGAGGAAAAAGTGCTTTAAGTCTGATTTCTAGCAAACTATTAATATCAAATAGGTTTGAGAAGACCGCAGGTGCCATCAGATATCAGGAACAAGGTCAGGGCTGGCATACGACCCAAGGGGCTGATATTTCACAGAATCATAGAATGGCAAGGGTTGGAAGGGACCTCAGGAGATCACTCAGTCCAACCCTCCTGCTAAAGCAGGTTCACCTAGAGCAGGTTGCACAGGACATCGTTCAGGCAGGCTTTGAATTTCTCCAGAGAAGGAGACTCCACAACCCCCCCGGGCAGCCTGTTACCTCACCGAGACCCCTTGCATTAACACAAGAAATTATTCAGCCCTCCATGGGGTTTTCACCCTACTCACTCCTATCCTTTCCTTTGGGCAAGGGACCATCCCAGAGAAATTTGCTTTTTTCCAGACCAATTTCTGACCTGTCCAGTTACAGGGCGGGGGAGAGACACGGAGCTGAGTTCAAACCGGATTGCAAGCGAGTGCTTTGGATTTAACTTAACTTTTATAATCAGTTCAACCACTGGCAGGGCAGGGCAAGATCAGCCCTCAGGAAGCAGAAAGACGTTACAGGGGCAGATGTAGACAGGTAATAACGTTATGCCTCGAACTTCTCCATTACGCCTTTACAAACCATATGGGCCCCTTTCATTCCCCCCCTTCTTCCCTCGCTCTGACAATGCAGAGTCACTGCCCTCTGCCAGTTTTTCCACCTGAGCCAGTGCCTCCGACTCCTTCCTAGATGACCAGAGACCCTCCAGAACTGCCATGGTAGCACCAGACAGGTGGAAAATGGAGACCCAGGTGTGCTGGAAAGGGCGGGAAAAGGAGCTTGGACTTATTCACGGTGTAGCAGTCAACACGGGGAAGCCATGACCATCGTTCAGAGTGCTGTTAATAGATACCACCATCACCAACAGTGAGTCTCTAGGCCTTTGCATGCGACTTTGCGGTAGCTCAACCATCTCCACTCAACAAGACGTTCTCTTTCTGCTACATATCCATTGTAGCCACCTCAGAAGAAAAACGATCACCTAAAACTCACTCACGGACAACGTTCCCACAATTACGGCTCTGGGTCAGTCCGCTCCACCTTCTCACTCTTCTCAGGGCAGCATCAACCGCCTCAGCCCCCCCGCAAAGCCAGACAAATTTCCAATGTGGGTGTCACAGTGGTATAGCATTAGCAGTGCATTAACACCACCTCAGCTTCATGCATAAAGAAGGAAATGCAAGACTGCAGAACATAACAAACGCCGTTTTTTGCCTTGGACAGATCCTAACGCTGAGCTCATTAAGTTACACATAATACCACCTCACCAGTTGCAAGAGGGGGAAAACCAAGCATCCTAAGAAGAGCCCGAATGACTCCAGCATGGGAATCACTACCTGCAGCACTGGCTCCGCTTTGAGCAATGGCAGACAGCTTTTATACTTTGGGCTGCACAAGAAAAGGGGCGATTTTTATGCTTTTAAATGACTAATCTGTGAGCAATGCTTTAAATTCCTGCAAGCCTACTCCTTGACTCCCAAGAAGTGTACGCCCCCCAAAAAAAACCCACATAAAAGCCCTGCCACTTGGGCTCTCTTAACGTGCCTTGAGCAGTCCCAGTAAGCATCCGTACGCATGTACAGCTAGGTCCGATTATTCAAATCCTGTTGCCTAGTATTAACTCTCAAATCTATATTTAAGCACCTAAGTAGGAATTACTTCAGCTTTCCAAAGATCCTAAGCACCAAGAGCTCTTGCTAAGAGCTTCTCGAAGTACTGACCTCCTCACGAATCTGTTTAAACGATAACACTCACCTCGCTCCTAGCGCCGTGCTTTCATACACAGCTAATGTTCCCGAACCTCTTCCAGCAAGAGCCGAGCTTGTGAGTGTCCTCTCTTTCTTATCAAAACACGGGTTAGATGCAAATACACAGAGGAGCTATTTCTAAAAGCCTGCGATGAATTCAAAGTCTCTGTACCTTGTTTTAGAAAAGGCTGGAACTACAGCAAAACAGCCTCTGAAAGTTTCTGCAGGCTTTGAACCTTGTTCTCCTTACAGCTAGGAAGTCAAAAAGCTGCTTTTCCCTTCTGCAGCCCAAATCTCGCCGTTTGCCAGACAGGCAAACTCACATCCTGCAGATGAGCGGAACACAGCAACAATATTCCAACTCACAGAAAAAGGCTGAGTCTTTATTTTTCATTTGCTTTCCTGTAATTCTGATTTTAAAATGACTTTGCGTACAAAGCCAGTGTTTTACCTTCATTCCGTAACCTCCTCCTTCCTGCTTGAGTTACAAAGAAATGTGAGCGTATTTACAGGGCCAATAGCTGATGAAGTGGTTGGAGTGCAGGCAAGAGTAAGGAGGAGGAACACAATACGCAAGGCTGGAAATACTCTGGGAAGTTAAGCAGAAAGATGCAATCCAGGATTCTGAGTGACCGAGTGAGTAATTCTGGATGAAAATTTAACAAAAGATAACTGAAGTAAAATATATCGCAATTGCTTAATAGATCGAAGGACCATACACATATAACTAGAGTAAAGGATCATCTACAGAATATGAAGTTACTTTGCCAGCATCAGAGGACTGGACAGAAAACAGCAGTGGCATCAAGCAGCAGCAATCTGTAGGTGACAACGCTCTCCTGCAGGCGCAGGAGGTAAGGCCTCAGCTCCAAACATTACAGTAATCATGAAATTGCTTGCTCTAATGAAACAGAACTTTATGGATGACAACCAGATCCATTTTTAAACGACAGATACTGATGGGAAGCTGGTCAAAAGCTTCAGAAAGGATGTATTAACTGTAGGAGAGACTTCTCATATTAAAATTTTATGTAACTCACCAGTATTATGCTATGCACACATCTCGGGAATACAATAGCCTTTCATGGAGCAGATGAACTAACAAGCATTCAATTCACATGACTTAGTCATTACCAAAAACTTTAAAATGAACCAATAAAGATAATTAGTGAAAGGAGGATAAAAAGGACTAATACCATCCAAATACCAGTGTATTTAATGAATTAGCAAAATGAAATGTTTCTGTCTCAGTAACACCTTTTCAAAATTAGAGCTGTATCAGGAGTTTTTAAAAATGAAAGCATTGCAAGTTTTCCAGAATCGGAAAGATGATCAAACCTGTCAAGATACACACCAAGTGTGAAGGGTTGTAGGAAGTGGAATTAGACCTGATATTTTGTATGGCTAAAAGATTAGTTTCAAATTTAAAAGACAACCATTTTGACAAACTAAATTTTAAATGCACATTCTACAAAAGCCGTACTTTCTCAGTTCCTTCTTTCATTGTCAAAAAATATCTGTATATACATGGACATACACATATGAAAGTATGACCTTTCAGTTTATTATTTAAAATACAACTTGCAGGTCACATGATTACTATGCACTGACAGTATTTCCATTGTAAGAAATCATCAATTTTGACATAATGATTCTTCATTTCAAGGTTACGCACTTTCCCAAGTCTCAAATCTCTTGAAGAAGTTCCTTCTTTTCCTCAAAATACTTCTGAAACCACTCAATATGTTCAATCTTCTGTTTAACACTGAGGTATGGGTTTTTTGAAAGCCCACAGATGACTAGTTCCATGAAGTGGCGAATTGGTCCGTGCTTGGGAAAGTCTTTGAGGTGTTTCTCCAGAAAGATATGTTCATGAAATTCAGCATCATCCTCCATCCCTAACAGAAGGGACAAAAAAAAAAAAAGAGACAAAAGTTATTATCATAACATCAAATTTAACAAAGTAAAAAAGGATATAGCTTGCAAATAATCTTAAATTAGTAAATTTAATGGTTCTGTGCCTTCTAATTCTTTTGCACAATTAAGCCAACCATACAGAAGTGCAAGAAACTGTAGAATTTTAAGACATTAATGTCTCCCTCTACACAAAAAATGTCAGCATATATCATACTCCTGTCTACCATATTACTTCTATTTTGTGCTCTCATTTACAAGAATATCTAATATTTAAATCAACTTTCTGGCTAGTAATCTCACTGAAAGCACAGGGCAGGAGTGGGGAGAATAACTGAAAAAATAAATCTTCTTGCTAAAAACCTCTTTGTTCAATACATGAACTTTGATTCATCATGAGTACCTCCTTTTAGATTGGGGACACTTTCTTTATAAATTCTTTAAGAAAACACTGATTGCCTGAATTCTGCAGAGGATTAAAGAATACAAGCTAGTCTTGAACAAATGAGACAACCTCATGAAGTATCTAATACCGAACAGCTAACACACACTTGCATGTTCATTCCAAGTCATGGTTTTAACATCCTATTGCTATCAAATGGGCACAGAAAATTGTTTTTCTAACACTTTCTGAATCTGTGAGTATATTCTGCTGTAAAAACGTTGTGTATCTCCCAACTGCTACTTTTACGTCATAACCAGCGCAGAAGATGATGCATTCAAAAGCACCCACAGAAACACGGGACAGGGGATTACTGTAGATGTCCAATCAAGCACAGCTCAGATCCTATGGTAAATTTTTGTTCTGTCCTGTGGATTTCCTTTGCTGCTGTTCATACTATGACTCTAGCATACACAAGACAGACTCAGAACACAAATTCCTACATACAGGAAAAAGGCTGCTTTCACAGTCCTCAAATCAGAGATTAAAAAAAAACCAAGGCAAGCTGGGATTTGCAATCGAAAGATTTTTCTTCAGTTAGGGATACATGAAAATTTTTATTTGATCCCAGTTTGCTACAGATTTGTAAATTACATTTGCAGTAAAAATCTGTTATTAGAGAAAAATATTGCATATGAACATTTCCAGATGACAAAAATGGGAATTCTACACCACAGACATAAGTGTACGTTTTTCTGTACTAGCTAGGATATGATATATTATTTGACAACATTAAATCACGAGTATTAAAATTGAGATAATTAAGCCATGTCAGTCCTAGGCTTCCGCCCATGTTAGAGCTTCTAGAGTTTCAGAAGAAATGATGCACGTCTCTGGGGTGGAAAGGTCTCTCGGCTTGTATTTGTTAAGTTCGCATTGTTTCTTTCCTGGTTTAGATTTTAGGTACTGCAGTATCTGAAGGAGCTGGGCAATACCTCTGTTTTTCCCACAGATTTTTCCTAGAAATATGAGTGTATCAATACCAGCTACATGCCACATTTATCTCCCTTGTCCTTGAAAAAGAAAGCATGTTTCCTTCTCCAGAAGCTCTCTTCTTTTTCCTTTATGTTAAAAGGGGGGGCAAAAAAAAGGCATGTCAGCTTCAGAAGGTATATTTCCGTTGTGCTTGGAAATCTATCTGCTTACAGAAGCACAGAGATGATCCTTTTACCATGCCACCCACACTGACTTCTCCCAACATGGGAAGGTGGAATCTCACTGTACCTGGATGCTGCTGGTTGCTTTCACAAGCTAACACCCTTTCCAGACTTCCATACTTTTGCTGGTCACAAAAATCCAAGAGAACTAAACCAACAAACCCACTACTGAAAGAATCCAAATAAAGCCGACAGTAAAATTTGGCCTTGTGGATGCTCTTCTTTTGGGGATAGATACAGGGTATCAGGAGAGATTATGTCTAATTAATAATTTCACCAAGCTTCATCTCTAACCCAAAAGCAATTAAACCATTTATAGTCTCACAAGAATGCAAGTCAGAAGGAAATATTACATCATGCATTTTGATCTCCCATTTGTCAAAGACATGATACATGGTTTGGGGATGAAGTGTTAAGTCCAGACATTTCAGTTAGACCACATATTTCAGTCCTCGAAGTAGTAAAGTGCGCATCACAAAAAAGAGACCACAATTGCCCAAAGCATCAGAGGCTGAGACCTCTGGTGGGAACTGATTAGATGAGATATGCTCACATGACTCCCCCCACCCCCAGCAAGCCATAACTCCAGCGGCATGGGAAGAACAAGCCTGTCCCTCAGCCTTTCTTGCACTATCCTCAGAAACCTCACTTGAAAGAGCATGCATGGTGGGAGTGGAAAGCAGAGGATTTTCTTTATCATCCTCAAAGTACTCTCAATATCCTAATTCCAATCCCCTAAGCACTACAAAACAGAAAGTCTGTGGAATTTCTCTAGCTAAAACACTAACTCCTCCAAGACATGACCAACCTTGCCTTAAAGATGACTTCTCAAATGTAGATGTTCATTCTTAAAGGCAGCGTTGCTGACACGCTATAAAGATGATGAAGTATCCTGATCTAGTGAAAGATGTCCGTGCCCATGGCAAGGGGGTTGGACTAGATGATCTTTAAAGGTCCCCTCCAACACAAATCATTCTATGATTCTAGGATTTTTAGAATTAGATAAATCATGCTCTTACAGTAGGTCCCTAGAACAGACCCAGAATTAGTAAAGCAACCCCCCTCCCCCGCCCCAAATGGCTGCGTAACGTTTGGCACCGCTCTTGGCAAACCGATCCAAAGCTTCTCAGCTAAACAGCCAGAAGAGGACTTTTGCCTACAGAAGCCATCAGGGGCAACTGAGGCATTCATTTTCCGAGACTTCAATTAAGCCTACCACTTCTGCCATAACAATCTCTGGCCCACCAGAAGCATTTGCTCCTCAGAATGAGGTACTAAAGCAAAGTAGCATCAATAATTTGCACTGGTTTAGGTTTGTTTTGGTTTTTTTTGTTTTTTTTTTTTTTAACAACTGCACTTCTCAGGACTTGAGTCATAAAGGCATAAACACACAGAAATAATTTTTAAAAGGGGCAGAAATCAATGTTTTTTCCCCATTTTCTGTGAGCAGAACTAAAGCTACTAGAAGCAGAAGAGGCAAGCAGAAAGGAGGAGGAGTGAGACCAGTGTTACGCAAGCTATACTAAAGGTTTGCTAATCTGGTAAAAATTAAACAGAGGTCGGAGAGATGGTCAGAAAAAAAGGTACTTTTCTGCCTAACAGTGACTTCAAACTGCATCAGATAAGGGAAAGGACATGCAGGCAGGAGCAGACAACAGGGCAGCGGGGTGGGGGCAAGACTGCTACTGGCTGCTGCAAGCCCACGCATCTAGCCACACCTTCAGATGTTTGCACCAAGGCCAGAGAAGTTTTAAAAATCATGACCTTGCCCTGATGCCTCAAAGCACAGCACAGTGCCTTGGTAAAGCACTCTAGTAAGAACACCGGAGATGCTCTGGAGCCAAGAAAAACAGTTATAAACAGTCTTCTTTCTCTTTTATATTTAAATTTTTAGAGGCTTTCATAATGCTAGAAGTTGAGCACACGTGCTTCCTCAATAGAAAATTTAATTACACTTAAGTTTTTAAAGCCACATGCTTGTGGCATAAAAGAAAAATCACACGTTTCTTGATACGGAACAAGCTGAGGTAATGTCCTCCTACTGAGGGAGATGACTGTGACAAAACTGCAAAATTAACAGCAGGAAGGGGCATCTTACTCTTGCAGAGCCACTGAAATGACAGTATGTTGATATAATTGGAGCGAGCTTCTCAAGCTTTTAACTGTGCTTTGAAATACCTGATCTGATTAACAGCCTGTGCTTGGCAGTTTGATAGGATGGAATTTACTGACTTGATATTTCAACCCGAGAGGTGATAGATTTTGGAACACTCCGCTGGAATTTTCCACATGACTAGTCTTTGTGGACAAATCAATAAAAATTCTTGTTTAAGTATATGTAAAGACTCTTTGTCCATTCGCCACCCCATCCCAGACAGCACGGTTCCAGCCACATTGCTGCCACAGAAAAACCATTGGCCGCCAAAGACGCCTGGTCCACTTACGGCCCCAGACAGCAGGGTTCCAGCCGCATTACAACAACAGAAAAACCATTGGCCACAGTGGTTTTAAGCTTGCAAAAACATGACTAGAGTATACTCGGATTTCTACATGATGGAACAAATCAATTCTGGGAGCAGTGATTAAATTCTGTGAAGAAACTGCCAAAATAGGATGGGAATAAACATTAAGAAACAATGAACCACATTATGCAATTTGCAACTCAGTATAGGACAGATTTTCAAAGACTCCCAGCGTTAGATACTAACCTGTTCTGCTTTCAGTGACTGAATCATTCTAAAGTAGTTCTGTTTGATGTCTTTAAAGTCTTTAAAAAAAAAAAAAAACCCACAGGCAAGCTCTCCCTGAAGTTATGAAGTCCCCTTTCCTAAAGAGTACACTTGCTTTGTGTAGTTGTTCTTCCCTTCTTTAACATTCACTTTCTCTCTGCTGGCTTAACTTCACACAGAGCTCTTTTTTTTTTTTTTTAAATGGTAATAAAAGTAAATACCATGCACAAAGATGTCTAGTTAAGATAGATGCCCAGAGTGCGTGAATATTGGGACTGTTTATTCTTATGAAACAGACAGAACAAAGGGAGCAAACAACTGTCTAACACTCAGCCGGCACAGATATGGAACTGGCAGAGAGCTGATTAGGATCCAGCTCGCCACTCGGTCCAAGAGCCACACCAAAGAACAGAATCAGCATTATAAAACACACACAGCAGTTTTAAGATTCCCCATCCTCTGCTAGAAGCTTCTTTAAAGAAGCTGCATAGTAAAAGGTATTATGTAATAGACTTGAATGGCCTTTTGGTGTTGAAAGCATCGGGGCTGAGTGAGAAAGGGAGGGAGGGAGGGAGGAAGGGAAGGAGGGACGGAGTTCTCCCCTTTTTGGCAGCAGTCAGTCTTCAGATCAGCCAAACCACCTGCAGAACTTCACCTGAAGAGTGCCAGAATGAATTCATCTGAAGCATCTCTGAAAGTTGTATCTGTTTACTATCAAATGCATGACTCATAGCTGAAAGACTACATTAAAACAGTCAAAGGTCATAACATGCTCTAATTCTCAAAAAAGATAAATATATACAGATAATATAAAAGGTAACAGTGCACGTACCAGCTTCATTGTCAATGGGGAACTCCCACAGTATTCCTTCTTTTGTCCACTGGATCATCTCCTCAAAACCGTTTCGGGGAGGCTGTGCCGTTATTGCTGCAACCTCTTTCGCAAATTCCAGATCCCAAATTGTTGGTGAAGATACTAAAAAAGAAATTTTGTAAAGATCTGTCAGGATGCCAAAGACTTCTTGCTAGCTAAAAGGAAGTCCTTTAACATTAACCTTTATGGAGACTAATACTTTCAGCTGTGCAAATTTTTCGACCTTAGATGCCAGCTTCACCTTGCTCAAATGAGAATTCTGTGTTGAAATGAAAGTCCATTAAATTCTCAAACGTCTGGTGAAAACACATTCTGAACTCCTAGGGGACAATTTATTTTTAAGCCTTTCACACAAAGCAGGAATTTAATTTTTCCACAAACTTTCTTTTCCTTTTTGTCTTTCACAAATTGTACATACGACAAACTCTGAACTGGACTGGTGCGCTCTGCTAAAGAAATCTTGCTTACTACAGGAGATTTCAGGTACTTCACAACTTATACTCTCCTTCAGGGAGACAACTTAATCTACAAACGATGGTAATTCTCACAAGTGTCCCAGTTTTTGTCTCTCGGGCTTGAGAAATCCTGATTTCCTAGTCTTCTCCCAAAGTCAAACAGTCCCTTTTTTCCAAATGCGTAATTTTTTTTTTTTTTTTTTTTTTTT